GGATTTGCTTTTCAAGAAGTCAAGAGAAGAAAGCTGGAGGGTTTCTTTTTAACTGAAAAGCTGTGTGTGTGCACCTTTCCACGCAGTGGTTCCTGGCCTCTCTGCCGGGCCGGACGGCAGCCTCCCGCAGGACCTCAGTCCCGGTTCCCTCGCCGGTGGCCCGGCATGACTCCTGCTCAGGCCAGCACGCCCTGGGCTTGGCATCCGCCGGCCCTTCCCTCTCACACTGGCCTCACATCCCCTCCTGACTCCTGGAGGTTACCCTTCCTTTCCTGCAGCCTCCACTTGAATTTTAAGTATTCTTTCTGGGGAATCTGATTCACATCATAGACACTTGTAAGCAGTCAGGAAAGCTTGTCAGCTCCGATCACGCTGTTGGAAGCGGCCCAGCACGGTTGCCTGCTCAGAGCTCTGAGAGAACGGGGGACACAGATGAACACCCAGCTCAGCCTGGGGGTGGGGGTGGGAGGCGGGCAGTTCTGGAAAGCTCTGGGGAATGACAAGATCTTTTTTGTGCCTTTAAATATCTCTCTGATGACAATGTGGAGGACGCGTGTGAAGCGGGGTGCAGGGCAAAGTGAAGACAGAGGAGCCAGTTAAGGAGCTACATCCATTTCCAGGAACAGGGGTGGTGGCGGTGGCAGCAGAGAGAGACCAAGAAAATGAAATCAATACAGCCTGGTGACCTGCTGTGGGCCGAGGCGGGAACCAGGCCGACCCCGGCCTCCCGGCCTCCCAGCCTCTGGGACAGGTGGATGAGGACACCCGACAGGAGGAGGGAAGAGGATGAGCTCAGGGTTGGGCACAGGAAGACTCAGCCACTGTAGAACATTCGGGGGAATCTGTCCCACCAGTGGCTGCAAATCCTGGGACCTCTTGCTGGGATAGGGGACACTGACTGGGTAATTGTCTGTCACTGAAGCCACAGCATAGGTGACACACTGAGAGAGAACGGTTAAAGAGGAAAGGACTGAAGGTAAACCCGGATTTAGGGAGTGAGGAGACAGAAGCACGCTCCTGCGGGATTCCTGCTGCTTCCTGGGGTGTCTGTCTGACGTCACCCCCTCCAGAAGCCCAGGCCAGCCACCCCCGCTCAGGTGGCCCCCTGGGCTTATGGCAGGGGGTTAACATGAGCCCCTACTCCTAAGAAGAACGGGTGCCTCCTTTTGTGTTCCCTTTTCTAGGCAGAGCCCAGCCCATCAGAGGCGCTCGCAGACGCCTGCCAAGGGAAGGGAGCCGTGGGGGAGGGTGTCCCTGCGGAGGGTAACACAGGTCAGGACAGGTTATGCCCCACTGGACAGGGAGCCCAATCCGTTGGGTGACGTGGTCCTGGAGGCACCCACCAGGCCACACTGGGGCCTCAGGACGTGCTGCCTGCCTAGAACCGTCTAGTGCCCGGAGAAGTTTTCTTTTCTCAGTAGAAATGGTGTTGCTGTCATCCCTCACCAGCTACAAACCCAGAAAGGACTCAGGAAGCCAGTGCAGGTGACAGCCCACTAGGACCGCATGCGCGCTGGGCTCTCAGACTCATTCTAGAAGCAGCTGTGGTCCAAGTGACCATTCGACCCTGACAGAAACAGAAGTAGCATTTCCTAAAGCAGGATTTTGCAAGAGCTGCCCTCTGTGGTTTGATATGAGCAGAGGGGCCTCCTCCTTGACGGAAGTGAAACCCTGAGCGGCTCAGACACAAACCCCGGCCACGGCCGTCGTCCTCAGGGAGAGTGGGAGACTGGGCACTTGTGTCCCAGCAGCATCTGGTGGAAAGTGGCCTGTCCTGATGACTCTCGGGTTTATCGTGAAACACTTGATACATGCATGGGTCACCACTTTGAAAAGCATCTGTGTACCACCTGCCCGTGTTTGGTGCAAGGCGAGCTTCCCCTCATCACATCCTGTGACCAAACACAGAGAACGCTGCGTTAGCCTCCCCGAATCTGGAACCCCTGGCCACGCCCCTAGCGGTCGGGTCACCGGGCTGCTGCACTTGACCTCGCTTCCATCCCAGCTCCCTGTCAAGTGCACGTATTAGAACTCCAGGAGGCAACGCCATCGCGAAGAGAAGGTGGCTCACGTCCTGGGCTGCTTAGGGCAAACCAGAGGCCGAGAGTCTCCTGCTCCCAGTTGACAAGGGGTCTGGACAGGAGGGGACATGTTCCTGGCTGATTGAGCCCCTGGAGAGACTTATGCTGCCCCACTTTGTGCAGGGCTTTAAAACGCACGGCCGCATGGACATTCCAGCCCAGCCGGGGTTGCGCTGACCCATGGATTTCTCTCATGAGCAGAGGGCAGGAGGAAACGGAAGGAAAGCAACTTGATCAAGGCCATTTGCCTGCAGTGATAGTTTGGAACAGATGAAACAAGATGAAAGTCCCTGAATTCCAGTTTGCTGAGCCATTAAATCCTGTAACAGAAGATGGGGTGGAAAGCCCCTCCCCCTCACAGCCAACCAGCCTCCATCAGCAGCTGTCATTGGCAGCTATAAAATCTACTTTCTTTTCTTAAAAAACTAAGGAGGGTGCTCTGGTTCTATAAAGATTCCCATGTGCTGCAGCTCCAGCAGGAGATGGTGTGTCCCCTCCCTGTCTGCCACTTGGGCCCTGCCTGCTTTGTCTCCAGAAACCCCTGGCTGGGCTTAAAACCATCTTGGATTAAACTTGAAATGGGGAGCGATAACATGGTTTATGGGCAAGTTATTATTTTTCCTTTAGATCAACCCCCTTTTTAAAAAATTGTGGTAAAACACCCATAACTTAAAATGTACAATTAGTCACATTTAGCACGTTCTCAGTGGTACGATCATCACGACTCTCTAGATCCAGAATATTTTCACCCCAAAAGGAAATATCCCCACTCCTCTAATATGTTTCCTGTCTCTGTTCTGGATGTTTCGTGTACGTGGAATTATGCAATACATGACTTTTGTGTCTGGCTTATCTCAGTTAGCATGTTTTCAAGGTTCAGCCATGTAGTGGCAGGTATCATTACTTCATTACTTTTTATGGCTGAATAATATTTCATTGGGTAGATAGACCACATTTTGTCCATTCATCAGTTAGATATTTGGGCTGCTTCTACCTTTTCCTTACTGTAAATAATGCTGCTGTAAACTTCCCTAAGTTTCTGTGTGAAACACCTGTCTTCACCTCTTTGGGGTGTATCTCCAGGAGCGGAATTGCTGGGTCATGTGGTAATTATCTGATGTGTGGAGGAAGCAGACTCAATCCACGCCGTCTTCCTTTGCTGCTGTCAGTGGCGGTGTGGCCGGCCCCAGCTGGCACTGCTTAGCTGCCTGGCGTTTCAGACTAGAGAGCCACTCAGCCCCCTCTGCTGCCCCAACCCCACAGCAGCCCCATGAAGACAGGCAGGGAACCAGGGCAGGGCTGCTGAGGGCTGGGCCGCGCACCTCCAGCTACAAGCAGGGCTGCAGCACCAGGGCCCGGCTCACTCCAGGCCGGCAGCAGAGCCAGGACAAGGGTCACAGGGCCCCCCCACCCAGACTACAGGCCAAGCGTCCCCCCGCATGGCATCCTGGCTCCCGGGGGAATGGAGAGGTACCCAAGTCACTGCCTCCAGTGGGCTCTGCTATTTTTATGTCCAAGTCTGGTTAAAAATAGCCATCTAAGCCAAGGTTTTTAGCTGCAGCTGACAAGACATTAAGCATCAGATACTTAGTGCCCACAGTGATAACCGTGGGTCTCTTCCTGTGTGCATTTTCTACCTCTGTAGTGTGTTTAACAAGGAAGCAGGTAGACACCAGCCATGAGAAAGGCCCCTAAGAGCACCTCCATCACTGCCCACCAGGCACCGGGGTCAGAGGTTCCAGCAAAGCCATGGGGTTCTGGAACAGGGAGGCCGAGACCCCACTGTCCGCAGGCCCCCTTCCAGCACCACCTGCAGCAAAGGGGTCTGAGTGAGGGGGGCTCCCGTCCCATGGGCCAGGCTGGGCGAAAGCACAGTTGGGCTGGCCTCAGCCTGGCGTCCCCTGCAGTCAGACCCTTGGCCTCCCCTGTCCAACGCCAAGAGCAACAGCATCCAGAGAGCCCAGCCTGACCACACTCGGCGCGCCCTAGGGGAAACGAAGTGGGTCCCGGCAGGCGGAGCAGGCCCAGCCCGCGATGAGGCTCCCGGCCAGCAGGCCCTTCTCCTCCCACCTCCCAGCACAGAGAAAGCTGACGAGGCACGAGGTGCAGCACGGGGCTGTGCCGGCTGGTGCGAGGGGACGCGAGAGGCCAGCCTATCCCTATTTCTTGGCTCTGAAAAAAGCAGCATCTGAAGCGCATCAATGCACAGCGAGGGTGCCGGAGGACGGGTCCTGCTCCTACTCGGCGGGTGCGCGGGCCTCCCTAGCTGCATTCCAGGCCCCCTCGGACCTAGCCAGCAGGTGGACCCCCCACCCCAGAGAGAGAGGCTCAGCTGAGCCCGCACTGGGCCACCAGGGCCTCGTGACCCCGGGACACACAGGTAGAAGCTTCACTGACTCCCTCCTGCCTTCCCGGCCGCAGAGCTGCCCAGCATGAGAGGACAGCCTGGTTCTAACAGCTGGACCAGTGACAGGCAGGGCAGAGCCGGGACTCACAGAAGACATTTCTCTTGTCAGGACCATGTATTGAAGAGTCTCATTTATCCCTGGACACAGCACCCCCAGGGTGCCCTGCTGCCATCAGACGTAACTGATGATAGGATCAGAGTCCCAGCCCCTCGTGATATCCCCCCACTGACATTTAAAGCCCAGTGGCTCGGTCCTCGGCCGTAGGCCAGTGGCGTGGTGGCTATGGCTCCACCAAGGCTCCCTCCTCTGTCCTGCCCCACGTATCAGGCTCTCTGGAGCCAGGCAGCGCCTGAACCTCGACCCCTCGCTCCCTGACGGCTCTGGTTCCGGGCTGCAGTCCAGCACCCGCTCTCCTGGCCTCACCCTCTGTGCCCCGACCCCAGGGGCTGCCAGGGAGACTCCCAGACCCCGACCGCCTGCTAACCACCTGTCTCCTTTTTGGTTCTTCCAGTGAGAAGCGCCACCTTCAAGTCAACGTCACCAACCCTGTGCAGTGCAGCCTACACGGCAAGAAGTGCACCGTCTCCGTGGAGACACGGCTCAACCAGCCACAGCCCGACTTCACCAAGAACCGCTCGGGCTTCATCCTCAGCGTGCCCGGCAACTGATGCTCCGTGGAGCGGGGGCCGCCCAGCCCGGCACCCGGCACTGTCACCGCCAGAAGCCCACTCGCTCACCAGGGTCGTGCTGGGAGGGGCCCCTGCCTCTTACGCGGCTCCTCTCAGAGGTCTTTCCCCACCTCCCTCTAGCTTTCTGCCTTTGTTCTCCATCTTCCTCTGTCCTGACCTTCCACAGCCCCCCTCAAGAAAACAAACCAAAGACCCCCGTGCCCTGCCTGGCCCCAGGAGACCCCCAGACCCCAGCTCCTCTCAGAGGCGCCTCCCGTCAGCGAAGGCTGCCGCGATGGCCAGGTCAGGTCAGCCTCCCCAGCCGACCCGGTGGCTGCGGCTGGCCCCATGAGGGGAGGGTTGGGGAGCCCGGATGCAGTTTCCAACCAAAGATGTGCCCCGGGCTAGGGGAGATGAGCTGAGGAGGTAGTCCTGCTCCCTCCCTGGGCCCAAGCGGTCGCCCCCCTCCGCAGGTTGATGGCAGGCCCTGTTCCCTGGCTCAGGGAGCTTCTCGGAGCTCCTTGAGGACCCCCTCCCCCCCAGCAGCCACCAAAGCCACCAGGTGAGCAGGTTCACCCGTAGGGCCAGCCTCTCAGCCCAGGAGCCTCTGGTCAGCAAAAACCACCGCACCCACCAGCAGTCTGCCTGCCCAGTGCCTGCCCCCGCCCCACCCCCGGCCCGTCCCCTCCAGGGATCCTCTTACTCGAACCGCACAGCCTGGGCCCACACTTGTCTTACACTTACATTTACAGTTTGCAGGGTGGTCAGTCAGACACCACGTCCGCTGTGCCCACACTGGTGTCAGGAACACTAATAAGAAGATGGCATCGGGGGCTGGGGAGCACTTGTGGGGCTTGCAAGTTTTCCCCTTCCAACACCTCGGCCTCATACCTATTTGGAAAAGTAGGACTGGGGCAGGAGGGGAGGAGTACACGGGAATTTGGGGCAGTGGAGCAACAGAAAACAGAGCGAGGGGCCCTGGCACTGCAGGCCAGGCCAGGATGCCCACCCCAGCCCTGCACAGAAACCCCCGACCCCGCAGCCGGGGCCCAGGCCGCCAGGCACATGGAGCGCACTGGGCCTTGCCGGCCCCCGCCTAGTCACAGCACGTGTGCCCCGGACACCATCCTCAGCCCACCCTCCTCCCGGCCTCGGCTAAGCAGCAGGCCGCACACCTCAGGGCATCCGGGGCCTCCCGGCCAGGAGCCCTATTACACTCAGACACCCTGTGTGGTGAGGGGGCTGAGGACGAGCCCAGGCCCCAGGAGGAGCCAGGCAGGATGCGAAAGAGGGGCGTGCTGATGTTTTCCTCACTTTCTGCCACAGACGCGGCCCACCCCGCCCGCCTCCTGCCACCCCGACCTCGCAACACATCTCAAGTGCCTGAGTGCTGCCGCCTGTGCCTCGCCCGGTGCCTGCCGCGGTCCCCTGGCCGGCCCCCAGGTGGTCCCAGCAGCCTGGCCTCACGGCTGCCCCACCCCTACTTCCAGGGCTCGAGCACATTTGCACCCCGTACAGGTCGCAGCCGAGTCCTGTCGGTATCCTGGCCTTAGAAACCCATTCTCGTTCGCGAGGCCTGGTCAGCTGCCTGCACAGGGCAGAGGTGCCCCCACCCCAGTTCAGCAACACCCATAGTTTTGCCAGTCGCCCGGACACTAGTCGAACCACCTTAACTGGAACGCCACCTCTCCTTTCCACTTATCTCCCCAAACTTGTTGCTTTACTAGATACACGCAAATGTATGTCCTAGACACACCAAAACAGAACATGCCAAATGAGTGCCTTTCAGAGGCAGGAGAGGAGGGAGGTCTGGAGTCCTGCCTCCCCCCCTTTTCGGTGTTGCCTCTGGTCCCTGAGCCCAGCGCCTCCCGGCTGAGGGCCAGGGCACTGCCGGCCGGCCGACAAGCACTTTTTCATGATGTCCTAAAAGAAGTCCCAGTGTGTGGCAACTGAAGAGGGAACTGCAGGTGTGATCACAGTGCGAGAGGAGCGCAGGAGGACCTGGTGATTGTACGCAATGAAGTGTTTCTCTTGATTTAATTAAATGCAGTTTTATGGTTTGGTGCGTATATTCCTATTTTCCATTAAATTAACTTTATTTCTAAAGCATATTTTGATTTACCATCAAGAGCAATAAAGCATTAAATCTTATTTTTAAAGGTGTTCTGCTTATTGAATTGGACACTATATCGAAAATTGTGAAATTTTGACTTGTATAAAGTCAGCTGCTCTCCCAGAGGAGGGAAGGGAACATTAAGCACAAATAAGGTAAAAATGGAGGATAATTTACCTGAGGCTTTTGAACAAAAATATTAAATACAAGAAAAGCTGTAAGGAGTGGGGAGAGGGGACAGGCAGTAGTAGACTTAAATCCAGACCCTTTCTTCCACCACCTTGAGGCCTGTGCACTAGAATGGAAGTTCACTGCTTTCACATTAACTGAAATTAAAGCACCTGTATAGTAAAGGCAAAGCTTGGACCCCCATGGCTGCAGCTCGGAGAGAGGTCTGAGCGAACCGTGGCTGGTCAGCCTCTCCCGGAGCCGGCTGAGCCAGAGATCAGGACCCCTTAGGTGAGGGAGGGGTGGGGCAGGGGACAGGGCATCCTCATCACCCAAGGGCCTGGAGACCAGACGATGCCACCCAGTCACCGGTCACTGGTGGGTGCAGTGATGGCTTCTGACGCAAACAGGGTGCCCTGAGGAAGGCGAGTGGCCCTGAGCACAAAGCTGACAGCTTCCAAGGTGCACCGCCTCCCCGGGGCCCAGGGGCAGCTCCAGCCAATGCGGCTTAAGGCCTGGGGAGGGCTGAGTCCAAAACACCTGGTCCGTGAGGCCCAGGCTGGTGGCAGGAACGGGCACAGACCACTGGCAATACAACCAGTAGAGGGCCTCGCGCTTGCCACGATGACGGGCTGGGGTGGCTGCTAATCTGGGAGCCCCAGGGCTGGAGTTCTCTCACTTGGAACACTGCACAGAACTAAACTGGCAGGGCTGAGCCACACGCCCTGAGCCCAGTCCTGCCGGCCTGGGGGCCTCCCGGCAGTGGGCTGGAGCAGAGCCAGGCCCACGACGCTCAGGGCAGCAGCCTTAGAGCCAAGCCGGTGCCCTGCAGGACCCCTGCACCAGCACACGCCTCGGGCCTGATCCTCCCTGGCCGGAGGTCCCAGCCACCCAGCTCGGCCAAGCCTCAGAAGCCTTTGGGGAGGAACTGCCCCCGCCCCACCACTAAACCAGAGTTGACTTAACCTGTGTTTCTTTCTTAATCACCTTAACGTGAACGCGCTCGTTAAGCCCTCTCCCCAACACTGCCCTCCTCCCACGCTCCCCTCCCCCATAGTGCAATCCAATTACGTTGAGTGCAGGAACCATTTACAAAAAGGGCCCCCAGCCTGCTTGTCAGTGATGTGCCCACAAAAGAGGTCTATGTAATGGATGGTCAGTGCATTTTATTTAATCAGCACAGTACAAAAATAAATAAAAATAAGGGAAGGGGAATTAAATTACAGCCAAACTGAGCTTCGTGACCTTGTCAGATTATAAACCACACATACTTACAAACACGCTACGCATACGTACAAAAGGAGACAAATATAAATTAATATTAACAATACCCACAGTTTGGTCAAAGAATAGCTACAGAAGAAATTGCACTAAAAAACCAACATACATCGCACGTGTGTAATTAGCAGTTTCAAATATACAGCTATGAATAATTCCGAGTGGAAAAAAAAATGGCACATTTTCTTTTCATTGCAAGTTTAACAACTGTCGGAACAAAACTAAGTTCTAATAACTGCATGGAAAGAATATATCAACCCTTCAGGTTTACAAGGAATAGAGAAAAACCAAATCCTGAACTATTATTCCTGTGACTTGTTCTGTGCACGGGTGTAATTTTCACAGCCATCTGTTCTAAGATTATTTTTTCTTAAGACACAAAATGCTCCTGGTTTGCATGCACAATATCACTGTAAAAGCAACAATTAAAGAATAAAGGGTTTTTTTTTAGGTTAGTTTTTTCCTTTTTTTTTATTGTTGTTCTAAAAGTAGTCTTCATAGCAGCATGTCAAATGGGTTCATTGCTTGCACACTCAAGTATTTTATCAGTTCCTTTACACAATACTGATGACCAGCGCGAGGGAGGGAGGAGACCCCGCCAGGTTTCACACTGATGGAACTAGAGTTTTTTCCTTAGTCCCCAACCACTCCTGAAATTTGCACCTCCTCCAAAAATAAAAAAATAAATATGGAGAGAGAGAAGGAAACACACGAAACTGGAATCCTGCGGATGCAACTTCCCGCAGTTTCAGGCCAAGTTCGGCCCGCCAAACGAGCGACTACAGACGCGCACCCCTGCTCTTGAGACTTGGCACCCGAACCTCCCAATTCCGAGCCGCCAGCGCCCGCTGCCCCCACGGGCCTCCTACCTCGGGTCACACATGGCAGCAGGATCTGAACAGACAGGCTGTGTGACAACTCCAGCGGAGAAGAGGTGCTGTGGCGAGGTCTGTGCCAGCAGCCGCGGGTTGCTTCCAGCCCCGCGGCAGGTCAGGTAATCTGGCGGCCCTGGGAATGGCTCAGCGTGGGCCTCCGGGCGCAGCTGGGGCAAATGCTCTCCCAATTGGGCAGGCCCACTTCCTCGGGAGAACACGGGCCGGCGGGCGGGCTCGGCTCTGGGCCTCTTAAACCCTGGCCTCAATTTCACAGCTTTCTCTTTTTATGTGAATTTCAGTAGTGCTTGCGCTGAAATGGGCAGCCACCTGGAAGCTAATCCTATGTAAACGGGCCCTCTGCCTCCCCCCCAGCCCCCATTCCAGCACCCTCTGGGGGACTGGGATTGGAAGAGAGAATTCTGTAGCGTCTTCGCATCAGTCTTTGTTCCCCAAAGCCGGAGGGATGGGCCATGGAGGAAGACTTGCTCCCTTCTCTTGGTCCTCTCCCAAGTCCCAAGCCACCAATCTGGGAGAATTAGAAAGAAAATTGATTAAGTACATATCATGTGTTTTTACAGCCACTAGGGTCAGGTGGTAACCAAAACCAGCAGCTGCAAATGATCAGTTGTAGAATCAGCAGGCGATCAGGAGTTCTACTCCCGTCTTGTAATTGTCTCCAAGATGCAGCTGTCTCACTGGGCCTTGCGGGGCAAGGCATCATCTTCAGAAGAAACTGAACTGTTTGGAAACAGCTTAAATCAAGGGGTGAGAGCGGGGGACATCGTTACCACATCACCCTGATCCCTGACATCACACCCTCCCGGTCCCGCACTTCTGCAGGACAGATGTCATGTGCACCAGCAAGAAGCCTTAGCCCTTAGGTGGGCTCTGGCTTGGTCCCAGGCATGGCCACCCCACCTGCCCAGAAGGCAGGCTGTTGACAATGGGCACCTGCAGCTGCCTGGGCCTTCCCCACAGGGTGACTAAGCTGCATGATTCAAATGAAAAATTCACCCAGGAAAGGAGCTGTCCCCAGCTTCACCCCACCCCTTTAGCTGGGACCCAAAACGAAAGAACTTAATGAGTCAAACCAGCTCATTAACCAACAGTACCAACACGGCCGGAAACAGAGGACAAGGGGGGGAGGGGAGCAAGTTCCACGTCTCCACTTCCATGTCTCCACTAAAGGAAAGCCCTTCTCCCTAAAACAGAAAAAAGAGCAAACCAGGGTCGTGCATGGTCAAAACAACAGGACACCGTCTTTGCACCAGGCCGGCTTCTCCTTGATTGAAGAGGCTGTCCCAGGGCCACGGGCAACTTGCCTCACAATCCCACGTGCAGCTCAGTCAGGGAGGCCGGCTCCAGGAGCCTCTGGGAGAACAGACGGCCCAAAACGGGAGCCAGAAAAGAGCCTCCAACTAGAAACTCCACTTCCTCCCCAAGCTGCCTGGCCAGAGACCCTCGCCAGCTCCCACAAAGGGAGCAGCGGGCAGTCTCGCCTGCCTTGGTCCAGCAAGGGCACAGGCGGCAGAGGCAGGTCAGTCCTTTGAATTTCCTAAAGTGGGAGGTCAGGAGCCGTGGTGGTTCTGAATACATCTTCTGGGTTTTGCACAGGTTCGGGAGTTCAGAAGAGCCCAGAGTTCTTGGCAGGGCTGGAGAAAACCCCAAGGAAAGAAGGTGGGAAGGGAGAGGCCCTCGGCGGCTTTGCTAGACACATACTGTACACAAAATCTGATTTAATAATAAATTTTTAAAAATGAATTGAATCCTTGAGCCATGATGCAGGCTAGTGGGCTCACCGATCCAGCCCAAGGAGGAGCCGCTTCTTGTCCTCCTGGCCGCTCTCGTTCTTCAGGTCGGAGAACACCTGTGTGAAGTAGTGGGGGTCGGCGTTGATCTGCAGCATCTTGGAGCTCATGAGGTTGATGACGGAGAGGCAGCGGTCCCAAAAGGCCTCCTTGCAGCTCTCCACCAGGAAGGGCTTGAGCGGATAGGAGATCTCGTTGCCCATGTAGGAGTAGGAGAGGTACAGGCAGGTCAGCAGGACGGCCTGGAGCTCGTGGTCGGAGCCCACCTCGGAGGAGATGACATCCCTGCAGAGCATGTAGAGGAAGACCACGTTGGCCGGCGTGATGAAGCCCTGGTCCTGCCAGCCCTGCAGGAGCAGCGAGCGGTCCACGCTGCGCAGCCAGAGCACAGGGTCCGTGGGGGACAGGTGCTTCAGGCGGTAGCACCGGCGACAGAGAAACTCGCCCAGGCAGCGCAGCAGCTCGCTGGTGGACGCCTGGACGATGACCCGTTTGGGCGTCCCGGCGGAGCTGACGGCAGGGTGTGGGGCCTTCTTGACGGAGGAGGAGACCCCGGTCTGGGAGCCTGAGAGCTGGCTGGCAGGGGGGGCGGGCGGCTGGGCCGGTGGAGGCTGGGCGAACGTGGACAGGTTGGCGCACGACAGCGACTTCTTCAGGTTCTCATTGTTGAGGTGCGTGATGTTATTCTGGTAGCTGCTGTTGGGCTGCACCTTCTTGGAGTTCTTCTTCTTGGCCGACACGGCCACGATCCTCTTCCAAGGCAGCACGGAGATGATGGAGTGCCGCTTCAGGTTCTTGTCCTTGGCGTTCTTGCTGTTCTGCACGGCCGTGTAGTGGCCCACCGTGGCCGCGCCATCCTCAAACAG